CGTGCAAGGCCTTCAGCAGAGCCTGTCCACCTTCAGTTGCCACGTGCTGCTCATACGCAACGTGCTGCCGTCCGCCACGCGCGTTGTGGGTGGCTGCGGGTTGCGGCCGGCAGCCGGCACAGCGGCGTGTGTGCCTTGCAGCGTGCGGGCCCTCCCTTTACCGCCTCCCACGCCCGGTGGGGGTCATTGCAGCCACAGCTGGGCTGTGGAGGGCGCTCATGCCGCCCGCTGGGCTGCCAGGCACACCACCGGGCGTGGGAGGCGGCAAAGGGAGGGCCCGCACGCCTGCAAGGCACACACGCCGCCGTGCCGGCTGCCGGCCGCAACCCGCCGCCACCCACCCCGCGCGTGGCGGCCGCCAGCACGTTGCGTATGCGCCGCACGTGGCCACTGAAGGTGGACAGGCTCTGCTGCAGGCTCTGCCCGTCGCCCAGGTCAGCCAGCACGCGGTTAAACCACAGCAGGCCCTGCCCAGCCTGCTGCGCACCCTGCTGCTGTGCACGCTGCTGCTGCCCCTCCCCCCGCTGCTGCGCCTGCTGCACCTCCGCCTCCCCCTGCCCCTGCGGCGGCGCCTGCGGCAGGAACAGCCCTGCCTTTGCCATCAGGCATGACAGCCCCAGAGCCTTGAGCGACGCAGTCTTGCCGCCGGTGTTGGGCCCCGTCACCGCCACCACGGCCACCCCCGGGGGAACGGTGAGGTCCACAGGCTGAGGCCGCACAGGCTGCCCGGCTGCGGCGGCGGCGGCGCCTTTGTCGTTGCCGCCGCCGCCGCTCGCCGCCCCGGCCTTGCCGCCGCCGCCGCGGCGGGGCGTGCTGCTGCCTGCTGCACCCAGAGGCTGCGGCGCGGCGGCGGCTGCCAGCTCCGGCACGAGCGCCAGGCCCGCCAGCGGGCCGCTGCACGGCACACAAGACACGGCGCGCTTGAGCTGAGCAGTGAGGGGTGGAGGGTGGCGCACGGGGCGCAAGCAGGGTTGGCTGGTGGGGGGCACTGCTGCAGGGCTGGGCCTCCCGCGGCACAGAGTGTGTGTTTGTTTGTGGGGGGGTGGGGGTGGGGGCGCGCACCTCAGGGACTCAGCCTCCACCCGCTGCTGCTGCTGCTGCTGCCCCTCCTCCAGCACCGGCGGCGGCGGCAGCGGTGCCAGGCACGGCTGCAGCAGCAGCGGGTGCCAGGCGCGCGGCAGCTGCACCGGCCCGCCCGCCGCCGCCTGCTCGGCGGTCAGGAAGCGCGGCGGCGCGGCGGCGCCCAGCCAGGCGGCGTGCCGGCCGCGGGCGGCGGCCACATCCAGGGAGGCGATGGCGCTGAGCACGCTGCGCAGCTGCTGAGCATGCTGCCCAACCTGCAGGGCCCACCAGGGCACCGGAACAGCGGGTGTGGGCAAGAGGAAGGAGCCACGTGGGGCGGACAGCAGCAGCCCAAGCAGGCGGCAGCCCTGCGGCACCCACCATGCCGCTCAGCGCCATCAGCACGGCCGTCTCCTCCGCCGCCTCCCTGCCCGCC